GGGCGGTGGGTGGGCGGGTGGGTTTCTGGGTGGATTGGGATGGGTGGCCCGCTGGGTGGTCTGCCGGATGGCCTGCTGGCTGGTGGGTGCTGCCGCCGCCGCCGCCGCCCGAGGTGGTGGGTGGCGGCGGCCGCTCCAGGCGTGCCTCCCACTCTCCAGCACGCCAGTCCTGCCCACCCGACTGCACGGCAAACCGGTTTCGAGCGCGCGACGAGCTTGCACCCCCCCCGGCCGCGTGCTGTGCTGTCCCCGCATGCTGCGCCCCGCCACAGCACACACGCTTTGTTGACAGCCGCCCATGCCCCCCTCCCTGCTGTGGCATGTGCCACCACGCTGCACCACCCAGTCTTGTTCCATGCCACAGCTCTGCTAGGCGTGAATGCTATGATCCTCCTCATGCTGGCGCACCCCGCCCTGCCAATGCCGGTGCTGCTGGCGTCCAAGATGGGTGAGTGCAGATTCTGCTTGCTGTTGCTGTCAGAAGATTTTGCGAGAGGCGTGTTACAGAAGAATGCACAGCATGGTTTACTTCTTGCCTGCACCAGCAAGGGGGCGCCAAGCAAAAGGAAGTAAAGCACTGGTAAATGGCACCCGCTCCGCTGTCCCGCAGCCACCACTGCAATACATCTACAAATCCACTCACCTCCAGAGTTCTTCTTGACACCACGCAGCGACTTGGTGCGGTTCTTGCGCTCCTTGATCTGCTTGCGAGACTTCTGGGTCGCCTCCGCAAGGCCGTTCTGCAGGAACAGGTGCACCGTACAGGGGCAGGGACGTGCGTCAGCAAGACGCGCAGCGGCTGCGGCCATGATCACTCTGCCTGTTGCTTGCTGGAGGGTAACCTCTGCCAGGTGACAGCCATCTGTTGGACGTGCAAACATTGAGCTGATATCACCCCGTTGCAGGTCACTGCTGGCACAAGTCGGCCGCCAGCCGTGTCTGCTGCCCACTCTGGCCGCGGTGCCCACGCTCTTCAGGTGCACAAACTGCTGCCGCCAATGTACACCAGCATCTGTCGCCCACCGCGGTCGTGCCGCAGTTCAGTACCCCCCTCGACAGCGCGAAGCATGCTGTAGATGAGGCACGTGTTGTGCTCCCCGCGGCTCAGACCCAGCAGCTGTACTGGTGGCGCCGCCCCTGCTCGCTTTCAGGCTGCTTCTGCTTCTGTGCTGTGGCTGCCACCCTGGCATAGCGCACGCAACAGCACGCACCCGCACAAGCCTGTACTTTGGCTCAAACTTCTTGGCCACCTCCACGTTGTCATAGATCAGGCCGAAGCCGGAGCTCTTGCCGCCGCCAAACTGGGTCCGCATGCCAAACACAAAGACGCAGTTCAGGTCCTTGACGTCGTACATCTTGGTCAGCTTCTCGCGCAGCTCGGTCTGCAGGAAACGCAAAGTGCGAAGCGAGGCGGGGCAGCAAGAATGGCGATTCGGCCTGGTTGGCCATCTGCGCTGCCAATATCCACGGCTTGCAGGTGCCGCACAGGCCATGGCATGATTGTCTGTCAGCTGCCCCAGCCGCCAGCTGCATGCGGCCGCCTCCACATGCCTCGCACGTGGCGCCGCCGGGCGGGCGGGCGGCGCCACCGCGGCAGCCGCATGCGGCCTGCCATCCGACGCACCTTGCTGACATTGGCGCGGCCGGGGTGAAGCACGTCCAGCACCTGCAGCGCAGAAGCGTGCCGCCCATCAGCCCCGCTGCGGCGCCATGCAGCTCAGGGCAGGCCACACGGGGCCAGCAGCGCCACTCACGAACTGTTTGCGCCCCAGCAGGCGGTTAGACATGAACTTCCTCGTCCTTATGGTCGCCATAATGCTGCCCGGCTCCCAGCTGCAGCGCTCCCTAGCTGGAGGTTTGCCACTGGTGATTCCCGCAGCGAAGAGGCCTGAGGAGGGCGGGGGGGGGCAGGTTCCTCCTCCTGGTGCCGACCCCGGGCGCCACGTCAGGAAATGCACGCTTGCTCTCTTCCACCCGGCCGCTTCTCGTTCCTGTAGGGTAGCAGCATCTGTCACACAAGGCAGTATCAATATTTATGCCATGCATGACCGCGGTGGCGTTGTGTGGCGCGCCGTGGCGGCTTTGTGCAGCCTGAACGCAGCAGGCACCGACAGGTTGGTGTGTCTCCAGCCCCAGCGCTTCCACTCTTGGTTGCGGATAGCCCAATTGCATGTTCAAGAAGCGAGTGGGGAGTAGGGAGTAGGCAGTGCACTGTTGCAGAGAAGAAGAGGAGAGTGGCAGGAGAGGGAAGCACGTGTACGGGGAACAGAAAGTCGAGTAAAAGGTCACATTGAGAGATTAAAGAGACAAGAGAATATTGAAATCGGAGACGCGCTGAGGCAATCAGTCGGTGTCCATGGCCTTGAAGGCGCCGCCGCGTGCGCAGGCGTCGCCACCAGGCGCCGATTGCAGCCCAAACTCCAACTGCGCACCCTTCTGCAGCCGCCCCGCAGGCTGCTGCGCCGCCTGCGCCTGCTGCTGCGCATGATGCTTCACCGCAGCTGCCACGCGCTTGCGGTGCTGTTCGATGGCGGCCGCGGGGTCCAAATTGCCGGGCAGGTGGATGAAGCGAATGTGGCGGCCCTTGACGTACAAAAACTCACACGACCGCCGCTCGCCCTGCAGCGCCTGGTAGCTGGCTTCACCCAGCTGCAGGTTCAGCTGGTCGTCCGCCGCCAGCAGCTGGCCGCGAATGATGCTGTCGTAGCGCAGCTCGACCACAACCCGCTGGCCCTCCAACGCCTGCACAAAGCAGGCCAGGCTGTGGCGCCGCGGGCGACGCTTGCCCATGCCGCAACGTGTGTTCGAGTGGACTGCCTTCCACTTGTATCTTGCTGCAGCTGATGGCCGCTTCTATTCCTGCTGACGGGCTCGTGTGCTAGCTGTTGGACTGCGGGCTGCGCTGTATGTGCCTACCGCAGCATGGCGTTGCGCACATCGATGCTGAACATCAGCCAGACCAGCACGGTGTTCACCACCAAGACCATGCCCGGGCCGAAGGCGTCGCGGGCGCGTTTTGGCCGTGGCCGGATGCGGGAGGTGTCGGGCGGGGTGGCCTTGCACACGCCGTGCAGATGGATGGCACGCTCCTGCTTATAGGACAGCTTTGCAGCCACCTCGGGGTGCGCGATCGCAGCCCTGCATCAGGGGAATGCCGCATTCAAAGCTACAGCGGGGAGGCGGCGGAACGACCAAGCTACTGCCGACCAATGACAGGACCTCACGCGGCCCCCTGGGCCGCTCACTTGTAGTACGGGAACTTGTCCTTGAGGCTGGTGTGTGGCAGGAAGCCCAGGTGGTGGAAGACGTGCCAGCCCTGAGCGCACCGAGCTGTGACCGTCTGCAGGAAGTAGCGTAGGGCCTCCCTGGGCGACTGCTGATACAATTCAAACTGTTGATGCGGTTTGCCTAGGCTGCTGGGGTTTGCCTGCTCCACCAGCGGAACCGAGCGGAACCTCAAAGCCATGCAGCCCACTGGCTGGCCCCGCTGGTTATTCCAACAATAGCCTGCCGCTCAGACACTGCATGATCTCCACAAGAGTGTCCCCAGCGTGGATTGCCAGCGCAGCATTGGCTCTTCCACCGCAGCACAGCTCTCCTTGTGTTCGCTGCCGGTCTGGTGTGGTCGTCTGCAAGCAGCGTTTAACGACCACCGACTCGACCGCTGCACTGGCCTACATGCGCCTTCAGTGAAAGCCACCAGGGGGCCTTGTTCCATGCAGCATTGCCTTCGAATTGCCTTCTTGCTGGCGCGTAGCAGCCTTCGAATCCTGGCAGCTGCGCCCTGTTGCGTGGCTAGCAGCCCCAGGCCTGTGTCCGCCCGGCGCCTCCCCGCGTCGTCTTGGTTGCCGCCGCGCCGCCGTGCCTGGCCTCGTGCCTTCGCAGCTGCCGCCAGCCAGTCCATCATGACCGTGTCCCAGGCTCTAGCTGCGGACATCAAGCCGCAGCTGCTGAGCGTGGCACCAATGTGAGTTGGGGCGCTCATTATCCCGCCGTGCTGCATGCGAGGCCCGTGCACCTTCATGTTGGTTCGGTACACCAGCTTTAAATAATTGTTGTTTGGGCTGCAGGATGGACTGGACAGACTTATACTACAGGTGTCCTTCTGCGTGCCTAACATGCATTGCTGCTGTTGCTTTTGGCTGGGTGGCCCAAACAAAGGCGCCCTTGCCGTCGCCCCCTCTCCTGACCCCTCTGAAGCCCCCTCTGAAGCGCGCGTGCACCTGCAGACAGCTTGCTCGCCTGATATCCCGGCACACCTGGCTGTACACGGAAATGGTGGTTGACCAGACCATCATCCACACCCCATTCATCGATAAGTTCCTGTGGTTCCCGCCCGAGCAGCACCCCATCGTGTGCCAGCTGGGCGGCAGCGACCCCACACTGCTGGCCCGCGCCGCAGCCATCGTAGAGCGGTATGGCTATGACGAAATCAACCTCAACTGCGGTGCGTCCTGTACAGCTGGGCGGCATTACCATGCGCTGCATGCAGCTGCACCTTTCATGGCAACAAAGATCCTGAAGCCGCAGCCCCAGCAACTGCCTGCCTGGCCTGCAGGCTGCCCGAGCGACCGTGTGGCGGGGGCGGGCTGCTTTGGCGCGGCCATGATGCTGCGGCCGCAGCTGGTGGCCGATTGCTGCAAGGCGATGCGGGAGGCCGTGCTTATGCCGATCACCGTGAAGTGCCGGCTGGGTGAGCCGAGCCTGCTGCGGGCTGCCCGTTCAACCCTGCTGCGCAATTCCTGCTTGCCTGCCCCTCCCCTGGCCTCCCTGCTTTGCTGTTAACTTCATGCCTCTGGTCCGCCCCTGGTCACCTGCCGTGCAGGCGTGGACAGCTTTGACTCCTACCCACAGCTGGTCAATTTTGTGGAGGTGGTGTCGAAGGGGTCGGGCGTCTCCCACTTTGTCATCCATGCCCGCAAGTGCTTGCTCAAGGGCCTGAACCCACACCAGAACCGCACAGTGCCGCCGCTGCGGTACGAGTGGGTGTGGGCGCTGAAGCGCGATTTCCCGCACCTCGAATTCTCGCTCAACGGCGGCGTGCTGACGCTGGAGGAGGTAGCATCGGCCCTGGCCCTTGTCAACGGCAGAGGCAGCAGCAGCGCCGGCAGTGACGTGGCAGCAGGCGCACGCAGCAGCAGCGGCAGCGGCGGGCGGCAGGGCATCATGGGGGTGATGGTGGGACGGGCTGCTTACAACATGCCCTGGGATGCTCTGGGTGAGCCCTGGCCTGCATTCTCGCTTGCTCGCCATCCTGTGTGCACCTGGCTGCCCTGGCCGTCTGCTGCATTGCTGCGTTGCCTCCGCTCCTGCTGCCACCATCCTAGTTTCCCGCTTGCACGCTGCTCTGCTCTACCTGCCTGCAGGCGATGCCGACCGCGCCATTTTTGGCGCCGAGGCCAACGCAGCCACCAGTCGGCGGCAAGTGCTGCATGACTATGCAGCCTGGGCCGACAGCATGATAGGGCACTGGCGGGTGGAAGAGGATGGGCACAAGTCGCCGAATGTGAGTTTTGCGAACCTGTATCCGCAGTCAGAAGCAGCCAGACCAAGTGAGGCAGCTCCTTCGTCCAGCGCCCGCCCTTCTCCACCTGCCTGCCTGTGCTGCCCCACTGCTGTGCAGGTGCGCATGCTGGTGAAACCGCTGCTGGGCATGTTTCACGGCGAGCCGCGGGCCAAGAAGTGGCGGGCAGCGGTGAGACAAGGCAGCCGAGCTGTGTATGGGGGCGGAGGTTGAGCAGCGGCTGCTCAGCTTGCCAGGCTGCACTTGCCACCCTCTACAAAGCCTCCCTTGCCCGTGGTGCAGGTGGATGCAGCACTCAAGACAGCAGAGACCGTGGGTGAGGTTCTGGATGCCACGCTGCCAGTGCTCAAGCCAGAGAGCCTGGATGCGCCGCCACGGCCGCTGGGCGAGCCGCCGCAGCTGCTGGAGCATTACGCGGCGGAGCTGCCCCCTACACCAGAGGGGCTGGCCAGCGGTGGTGACATGCAGCAGGAGGCGGCAGAGCCCGCAACTGCCGTAGCATAGCTGATCTGATCCCATGCAGACTCCTTCAAGGACCAATAGGAACTTTGTAAACTAGAGTCCATTGCTGATTTATTGGTGAGCAAGGAGTTCTGCACACGGCAATGGCTGTGGGGTAGGCCGTACGACTCGAATGCATGCGACGAATTTCGTTGTGGCAGTGAGTAGAAGAAAATGCATGGTCAGGTGATTGAAGCAAACAGGAGCGCGAGAGGACAAGAAATGAAGGGTGAAACAAGACTACTGCTGGCAACGACTGCCCCTCGCCTGGCAATATTGGTACACCATGCCCCTCGCCTGGAAATCATCCCAAAAGGTTTCTGCCACAGCAGTGCCGTCAGGCAGCTTCGGCCAGTTGCTCGTCCCTGACCCATCTTCCTCGTGCACCAGCTGCGGCGCTGAACACACGTCATCCTCCAACAGTAGCAGGCTGCCCGCCAGCGCCACGTCTCCGTGGCTTTCAAAGGAGCATCCCGGGCTGACGGTGCAGCGTTCTTCGTCATCCGACGAGCAGCCCTCCTCAAGCTCAGGCTCCAGTATCAGCAGCTGCTGCTGTTTCTGCCGTGCCTTGTGCACACAGTCGGCTACCGTGTCGGTGGGTGGCCGTGCGGCGCCTGCCGCAGCCGCCGGCGAATTTCCGGTTGCCATGGGCTCCAGCTCGAGGAAACAGGAGCTCAGCGCGGCCATCTGCACGGAGCGAAATTGAAAATTGAACCAAGCCGGGGGGTGATTGCGGCCACGGGCAGCCCTGCACAAGGAAGTCCCAGCGCAGCCGCTGTATCTTGCACGGTTGCAGGGACGGGCGGGCACCTGGTGGCAGCAGCACGTTGGTGGGCCGGCTGGCTCGCGCTGGGCGCCTTAGCGTGAATCTCTGATAAGTTTGCACCCAGAATCAAAGACGAATCCAAGCAACAAAGCCCAGCCACAAGCCTAATGAGCCTCCAGCACGCAGCACGACATGCACCGCAGCATTGGTTCGGAAAGGAGACGGGGGCACAGCAGACCATTCACTTTTCCGTCGTTTGGAGGTCCTCCTGTGCCGTGCAGGCCTCCTCCTCCTCTTTTCTGCACATTGCATCGCTGGGACTTGGCCGCCGACCGCCCCAACACCCCCACAGCCCCTGCCTCCGCCTCGACGCAGCCTCCACAGCTCGTGGCGCGCCTGCTGAACGGCGGCGGCGGGGCTGTGGCCAGGCCGTGTGTGCGCCACACCTGCACCGCAACCAACGCTGAGGCCTCACCTGGTCCCGGTGAGGCGACAAGGGGCCCCAGCGGCAGCACAGCGGGCAGCAGGTGGCGCAGGCACACATCCTCCCGCCTGCCGCTCCCAACTCCGCACTGCCGCAGCAAAGCCAGCATAAAGCAGCAAGTCCTCGAGGCTCTGTCGCCCCCTCCCGGAAGCTCTGTGGCGGGCTACCAGCATGAGCCGCCTGCACAAGTTTCCGCTGATGAGCAAGGAGGAGCTGGCCAACAGCCCCTCCCGTGCCGACGGTGTGCCAGAGAACATGGAGCTGCGCCGCCGCAAGCTCGCGGCGCAGCACATGATGGAAGTCAGCAACATATTCCGTATGTGAGTGGCCCCAGCAGGGTGCTGCTTTCGCGGCTTTCCGCCGCAGCCCAGGCGGCAGCTGCCACGAGCACAGTCTGCTGGCTCGCGGGTTTGCACAACGGCAATTCGCTGCTGCTGAGCTGCCCTGCCACCTTGGCCTGGCTGCCACCAAACAGGTCGGTTGCCACCTGGGCGATTGCCGTCACATTCTTCAACCGCTTCTACACAACGGAAGAGCATGAAGAAGAACACACTTTTGTGAGTGGCCGGCCCTCCCGGTTAAAGGCGGCAGCGAGGGGTGGGACGGCTTAGGTTTTGTGCCTGTGGGTTCCCTCAGGCTTCCACCGGGAGGGCGAGAAGCACACAGGCGCAGTTGATCGTGGAGCTGCCTCCAAGAAGCCAGATGGTAGTCTGTCACCCTTCACAAGCCACCGGGGGGGGCCATCCCTATGCCGTGGCCAACAGTGGTTTAGTAGCCCACCTGTTGCCAGCCCCGCTACCCCTCCACCCGCAGATCATCGCCTGTGCCTCGCTGTTCCTGGCGGGCAAGGCGCAGAATGAGGCAAAGCCGCACACCACGCTGGCCAACGAGCTGATCAAGGCCTGGTACGGAAAGGACAACCCGCAGCTTAAGGCACTGGCGGCTGCGCATCAGGCCACGCAGGCCGCTCAGCAGCAGCAGCGCGGCGGCGGCTTTGCATCCCCTGCGGTGCCTCCTGGCGTGGACTTCAACTTCTACACCAACATGTGGGCGGCGGTGCTGGAGGCGGAGCGAGCGCTGCTGTACACCGTGGGCTTTGACTTCAACGTGGAGCTCATCCACACCTACCTGGCCCGCCTGTGCAACCGGCCGCGCATGAAGGCCGTCAAGCTGGACAAGAACAAGTACTTCCAGCAGCAACTGGTCAGCATGGCAAACGACGTGTACAAGAAGGATGGCACGCTGGCGCTGCAGGTGGGGCGCGGGTATTTTTGTGGATGGGGACCAGAGGAGTGGGCCCCTCAACCGCGTGCTACAGGCGGCCATGCAAGCCAATGCGACAGCGGCGTGCACTTCTGGCGTGGCCTGTATTTCACAACCTCCCCCGCAACAACGCTGCTGCTGTGTGTTGCCCTTACTTAACTCTGCAGTACTCGGTGGAGAAGATTGCCATTGCCGCTTTCTACTTCATCTTGAAGGCCGCCAAAGCCAGCAAGATGTCCTCCATCCCCCAGCTGGCGCCCCTGGCTAGCGGCATGCCCTGGTATGTGGAAGAGGGGCTGAGCACCGCCGAGTGCATCGAGATCACCAACCGCTTTACCATCCTGTACGACCAGAGCAAGCGCAAGGCAGCAGGCGGGGGTGCGGCCACACCGTCGACAGCAATCACCAGCGGCGGGGAGGGCGCCGCCTCCACCGTCGTTTTGGGCGCGTGCGAGAGTGCGGCCTACAGCGGCGGGCCCACGCTGCACGGCCTTCCAGGTGGCAGGTCGGAGCTGGGGTCGGGTGCGGATGCGCTAGGGGAGCACACCTCGGTGCCGCGGCCCCTGAGCTCAGACGTGGGCTCCGGCAGCATGCCCAGCAAGCGGGCAGCACATGGCCCCAACAACGTCGCGGTGCCTGCGGCGGCTGCTGGTTATGCTGTCCGTGGCAGCCCCAACAAGCGGGCCCGCCTGGCAGAGCCTTCACGTGCAGCATCAAACGAAGCCACCAGCGCAGCCATGCGCCCGCCTGCGAGCAGGCAGCCCAGCAACTCACCCCTGGCGATGGTGTACCACGGCACGATACCAGTCGCCTCTTCCACCACTCACACGCCAGCAGCAGCTGGCAGCGCCGCTGCACCATCTGCAGCCCTGGCTGCATCATCTGGGGCGGCAGCAGCGGCAGATAGTGATAAGGAGGAAGGGGAGCTGGAGGAGGGGGAGCTTTCTTGAGCTCACAGCTCAACACCAGATATTGCTGGTGGTGCGCAGGCCCCCAAGGTTTACCAAGAGGTTGGGCAGAAGGACCTCCATACAAACCAGTTTTATATCTCTGTTTTCTTCTGTATCCCATTTCATTCGCCTGCTCATTTTGTGTCTGCTTTCTCCTGATTTGCTTGCTCTTCTTGTTTGGTTTGAAATTTTTACTGTTTGCTGTGGCAAGAAACGACAGGGATCATGCAGACGAATAGGCAAGCAGGGGAGCACAACAGGGGAGCAGCACGGACGAAAAGCAACACAGGCAGTAAAGAGAAGGGGGTTGACAGTGAGGAGTACGAAGGGTGTGGTGGACAAGAATGGTGGTTGGTAAGATTTGGCTAGAATTCTGCGCCCTCCTCCGCTGCTGCTTCTGCCGCCTCCGCCTCCTCTGCACCCTCCTGCACCGGCCAGGGGATGGCCGCCGCCTCCACGGGCCACCCCGCAAACACCAGGGGCAGGCGGTCGGCCAGCAGAGCGCGGAAGGCATCAATGTCCACCCGCACATCCACGTTGGTGTGCGCCTGAGAGAGCGAGGGGGCGGCGCGTAAGGCACCGTTTGGCTGCTGGTGTCGCCGTCTGGATATGCAGGCAAAATGCTTGCACACGCCCCCCCCACGTCATGGCAGGCCACCACTCAACCAGCACCTGCCTGCTGCTGCTCACCTCCACGCACTCCTCGGTGTTGCACTGCAGTGGCTCCCACTCCCCAAAGCGGTACGCGTCTCGCTCCTGGATGTACTCAGTCTCATTGCGCAGCCGTGCGCGCCATGCATAGTGATGGATGTCGCCCATCATGGCCGTCTGGACCTGCGGGCATAGGCGGGGCCACAGCTGGTTGGCGCGGAGCGGACGGCGGGGGCGGGGGCCTGCGCCACAGCTGGGCACCGCCACTGGGGAAAAAAACGGTGGAAGACCCGCTCGGGGCACCTTTGCTTGCGCCCACATTCCTTTGACCACCCTCACGCTCCTCTTTTGACAGCTGTGGGGACACAACCGACACGCTGGCAGCAGATGTCCTCTGGCCGGGAGCCCTGCTCGCCCCGCAGCGGGCACCCACACCCACCTGGAAGCTCTTGTCTAGGCCGTGCCAAAACCAGTTGCGCTGGATGATCTCAAACACGGCGCTGCCTGGCTGCATGAACTGGGCGTTGGCCAGGTTGGAGGTGTGCACTGAGACGAGCACCGAGGTGGAGGCCATGGTCTCCAGCTGCTGGCGGAAGGGCGTGGAGGCGTTGAACTCCACCACCCGCACCTGCGCGCAGCAGCAGCAGACCCAGGGCAGGGCAGGCAGCCGTCATGCACGGGTGGCAACCGCAACCGCCGTGCCAGGCTGAAGGGGTGGCCACGACGACACAGGCTGGCAAGGCGAGGTGCTGGGAGGGCGCCCCGCCAGCACCGCACCTCCCCAAACTCTGCCAGCATCTTGAGCAGGGCCTCCTCGTTGACGACGCGCCGGTTGGCCCGCTTGCGCTGGAAGGTGATGGTGCGCGGCAGCGGCTGGCGCAGTCGGGGGGGCGGCAAGTTGTACTGCACGCCGAGTGGGCAGTCGGGGAGGCGGCAGGGCGCAGGCGGTTGGGGCAGGGGCAGGTGTGCAAGGCCCCAGAGGCCGCGCCCAGCTACGCTGCTGCCGCCTGTCGCCTGCCCGCCCACCTGTGCGTACAGCATCTTCCTGAACAGGTGTGCGTCCTTAGTGTCCAAGAATGTGCGCACCCCGCCCGTGTACACATCCTTGACCACCAGCACCCTGTCAAAGGCCACCCAGGCATCGGGCGCATACCCCTCCAGTGGCGCGGCTGCAGCAAGGGAGCGTTGGCGCAGAGAACGGGGATGGTGAGCAGGGCGGAGAAGGCAAGCCGGAGGCCGGCAGGGAGGGGAAGGCAAGGAGCAGGCGCCCGTGCTCCCCCCCGCAGTCAACATGGCAGCCACTCACCCATTTGGTCCACGATCTGCCCCACCTCCTGCTGCCACATGATGGGCGGCAGGTTCTGGTCAGGGCCGACCCCCAGCGCGGTGGCCAGCGTGGCACGCACCCACTCCATCACGTGGCAGCGCTTGAGGTGCAGCTGCAGGAACTGCGTGGGTGGGCGCGAGAAGCTGCGCTCCTGGCGCAGGATGGAGAAGAGCGGGAACAGCATCTCCGACCAGTGGCCGATGGCAGTCTGCGGTGGGGTGGACGGGTGGGCGGGAGGTGAGAGCCGTTGCTGCGTCGTGGCAAGGAAGGCCGCAAGCGCTGCACCTCTGTTGCACCTGCAGGCGCCACAGCCAACCCTCGCTCACCGGGTGCATGAAGAAGACAAAGTCGAAGACAAGCGTGTCGCCGCGCACCACGTGGTGGCTGGTGGAGGCCAGGAAGTGGGAGGCGTTGGCCACGTGCATGATGTTGAGCTCCTGATTGCGAGTCAGCTTCCACGGCTCCTGCGGCGCAGCAGCCAGGGGGTGGGGTGGGCAAGGGAGGCGGAGACAACCAGGCGGGCACCTGCTGTGCATTGGCGCAGGACAGGGCAGGGCAGGGAGTGGCGCCCACTCACCACCCCCGCCTCGCCGTCCACCAGCAGGTAGAAGCGGCCGTTGTTGAACCTGCGCGGGCGGGGCAGGGCAGGGCAGATGAATGGCTGCTGCAGCGTGCACGGCGCTCGCCTGCTGGACCCCCAGCTGCCTGCAAGTGCTGCTTAGTCCCGCCGAACGATGCCCCAGCCCCCCAGCCAGCACCCAGCTTTGTGGCCGCCCGACAGAACGCTGCCCCAGCGCCCCGACCCACCAGAGGTTGTCGTAGGTGCAGTACTTGTCGTTGCAGTGGGCTGCCGAGCGCGGCGAGCCGTTGCGCCAGCGCCAGCCATGCGCCCCTGGGTTGGACAGCCCACGCGGTGTGCAGGCGGAGGGCTGGCGGTCGGTCCAGTTGGAGCGCACGCTATCCCAGTACTGGTATGTGCGCACATCCCAGAACCCGGGCTCCTGGCCCTGCAGGGAGAGGACGGGCAGGCATTAAGATCGGGAGACAGCAAGGTGAGGGCCCACAAGGCACCAGGGCGATTCCCCCGTAAAGGGAACTGCCTTGGCGATACAGATACACCTCCTGCCAGCCAAGCCACCCACCTTGCGGTAAACCTCCCGCCACTTGCATCCCTTCGGGAAGAAGCCGCGCGCGTCGGCCACCACCCACTCCTCTCCTCCACCGCTGCTGCTGCTGTTGTTGGGAGCCCCGCCCGCTGCTGCTGCCGGTGTGGTGGCGGGAGGCCCGGTCACCAGGGCGAGCAGGCCATCTGGCGGCCATTTGTGCGCGGCGAAGGCTGCCAGCAGTGCCACCACCAGCACCAGCAGGGGCGGGCCTCGTGAAATTGCCCACGCCTTGCTGCCCGGCGCTGATGCGGCCGCCGCCGTCACCGCTGCTTGCTGCTTGGTGGCTCGTCCGGCCGGCTGCCGCTCGCTATCTTGCTGGGCCTTGCCATTCTTGCCGACAGCTGCGGCCGCCCGCCCAGAGGTACTGGTCCCCTGCTGTCCTTCGGGCTCGCCTGCCGCCCCGCCCGCTGCCGCCGCCCCGGCCGATGCTGACGCACCGGCCCTCTTCTTTGGCGACATTGGGGCCCCAGTGCACGCCTGCACGCAGCAAGCGCTCCGTGTAGCAGGTTGGCGTCAACAACTTGAATGCACGCCCCCCGATGGGCGGGCTTGGAGCTTGGGGAATGGCGGGGATTGGGGCTGGGCAATAGTGGGCGATTGCAAGGGCGGGAGCAAGCTTGCAGAGACCGCTTTCCAGCAGTGTTTCTGGCCCTCGTGGCAGCTTTGGCGATGGGCGGGCGATGAGGACTGCTGTCGCGTCCAAATTTCGCCAATCAGCTGGCGATGGCACATTGAGGATTGGCGAAATGCGGGGGAGCCACCCTTGCGCCTGGCACAGCGCAGCGGCCACATGCGGCGCCGCTGTTGCTTTGTCGGCNCTTGCCTCCCTTNNGGGGGACTGGGGGNGAAGCCCCCAGCAAGCTGGCGCTTGTTTAACACTATGGAGTGNAAGTTCCTGAGGAAAATTGGCCATTTCTCCTCAAAATAT